ACCACACAGCTCTGTTAATCTAGTGGCTCCTTCTGAATGGCCAGCCAGGAAAGGCCTCTGAAGAGGTGATCTTTTCATGAATACCGAGAAGGAACCACCTTGCAGAATTTTGGGAGGAGAATACTTTAAAAAGTGGAAGTCAGGTTGCAACTTAAAGCAAGCTACTTCTATTAAAAAGAAAACCATGACTCATGGGCTATTTAAATCACATGAATTCTTGTTTTGTGTTTGGTATGAGAAACATGGTCCAGGTTTTGTTTTTCTGCCAACTCAGTGACTATCCAATAACACCTAATAATGGCCAATGATTTTGTCAGTGCTCTAACTTTAGATTGTGGGTCTATGGATTGAAAAAGCTGAGGGCATGAGTTATCTTTTGCTGCGTAACAAAATACTCCTAAAGTTAGTGGGACAAATGTTTATTGTCTCATATTTTATGGGGATCAGGAATCTGGGTGCAGTTTAACTAGGTGCTCTTTCTCAGGACAAGGTTGCTGTCATGGTGTAGGCTAGGGCTGTAGTTTTTTCCAGGCTCAGCTTGGGAGGGATTCACTTCTAAACTCAATCCAGTTCTTTGCCAAGTGGGTCTGGGTGAGCTAACTTTTATTGGGAGAAAGAGATGGCACCTTTGTCATTTGATAACCTAATCTTGGAAGTGATATACCACTGCCCAATTTTAGTCATGGAAATTAGTAGCTCCATCCCACACTCATGGGGGAGGATTATACAGTGAGAATACCAGGAGCTGGAGATATTTAGGAGTCATCTTCAAGGCTCCCTACCATGTTTGATGTTCCATTTTCCAGTAATTACCTTTATTCTTTCAGGTCCTATTGAACACATAGGAGGGGTGTTTTATTAGTATAGTGGAGAATGGAGTTACCATGTTTCCAAGGTTTATATTAAATAAGAGAAACAACTTTATAGTTGTGAGAGTTTTGACATCGGAGAGCATTAGTCAGGGGTTGGGGATAGTTTAGCTGACTGAACTTACCATGGTTGATTGAGTCTGAAGTATGGGGATGCGATGAATAATAACAACTAACACCTAATGAGCACTTACTGTGTGCCAGACAGTTTTAAGAGCTTTGCATGGATTGTTATTTGAATCCTCCCACCTACCAATATCTGTCAATATCTTTTTTTTCTTTAATTCCTCACTCGAGGATACTTTTCTATTTATCATCAGAGGAGGGAGAGAGAGAGAGAGGGACAGAGAGAAACATTGATATGATAGAAACACATCGACTGGTTGCCACCCTCATGACCTGACCAGGGCTGGGGACACTGCAACCGAGGTACGTGCTCTTGGCCAGAATCAAACCCGTGACTAATTGGCCGTGGGCCGACACTCGCCAAACTGGCCAGGGCCTGTCAATATTTTTTAAAGATGACAAAACTAAAGCTAAGCTGTGTCCAGAATCACCCAGCTAGAAAGTAGGGGCAGTCAAGGAAAGAGCCCAAAAAACTGACTTTAAAACATACTCTCTTAACCTTTTACTCTAGCCTTTCAAAAAAAAGAATTTTGCAAAATTGTTTGTTAGGTCCTTCATCACATATATGGTGATATTTAAAGTCTGTTTAAAATCTGTGATTGTTACCTTGTCTTTATTAATACTGTTCTAATTTTGCCAAAAATAAATAAATAAAGTTACCTGTTCACTTTGAGTTACCAAACTTTTTCGGTGCTCTAATTTGTTTAGTTTGACTCTAAATAGTAGTTGCTTCTAATATTTTTGGGACTGATAAATAAACATCCAAGTATTGCCAGTGAAGTTTGTATAATCATAACTTTGATAATTTTGTTTATGTTGAATGAACTGTTTTCCTCGACTGTGTTTATGAAATATATGTTCTACCAATAAACAGAACCCATCTCAAAACCAATATAAAGCATGTAGTCTTCTTCCTGATGAGTCTTAAACTGTACTTCATAAATCCATCACGTTGTGTGGCCTTGCCAGTGTTCTGCGCTCCTTGATACACAGTTGATTTATGGGCAGGGGTGCTCTTAGTCCTTTGGAGGAGAGGGTGAGAATCTAGCCTTCACTTCAATCTGTTATTCTTGGGGAAAATGAATTCCTATTTCAATACTGTCTTTAACAGACTTGATATATGACATTATAATTACTATGAAAAAATACAATATAAAGGAACCTCATTTTTTAAAAAGGTTAAGCATCTGACAACTCTGAGCTTGCCACCCATGTGTGTCTCAGGGGGAAAAAAAAAAAGAAAAGCTGTGGTTCTCAAACTTGAATATACTTCAGAATCATCTGGGAAACTTAGGCCTCAATGCCAGAGGGTATTAGTGTAGGTAGGTTTGGGAAATGGTCAAGAAATCTTCATTTTTATAAAGTACCCAGGTAATTCTGATTGCAGGTGGTAGTAGGACATACACTTCAGGAATCCTAGTGTAAACGGTTGGGAGAAAGGTAGGACCCAGGAGGCTCTTTTTTTTTTTTTACTATTCACTTCCCCTCTTTATCATATTCAATTTTAAGAGGAATAATATTTCCCTTTAGTTCTTTATCAAAGGTATAGTTATAGGCTTTGATTTGAATAGTAGCATCTTTGTATCGATTTCAGTTTAACATTTGATAAGAGTTGATGATGGATGTTTGTCACATTCCAGATTTATCCTTATACTAACAGAAATCCAGGAAAGAATAACAGCATATTACCCTGGCTGGTTCGGTTCAGTGGTTAGAGTTTTGATTCCAGTCAAGGGCACTACCTGGGTTGCAGGTTTAATTCTGGCCCCAGTTGGGGTCGTGCAGGAGGCAACCAATCAATGTGTCTCTCTCACATTGATGTTTCTCTTTCCCTCCCTTCCACAAATCAATGGAAAAATATCCTTGGGTGAGGATTAAAAAAAAATTAACAACATACTGACTTTTTAATGGTAAAAAGAAGTTAGGGAAAATGGGCTATTTTTAATGTAATTAAATATAATTATACAGTTTATTTTTTTAATGTTTTTATTGATTTTAGAGAGAGTGAGGGATAGAGAAACATCAATGTGAGAGAGATACATTGATCAGTTGCCTCCCGTTAAACCTACATTCTGGGCATGCGCCCTGACCAGGAACTGCACCAGTAACCTTTCGGTGCATGGGATAACACTCAACCAAACGACCTTGAAATTTTGATCTTCACTAGTTCATTGCACCTACGGAAATTTAAGAACAAAAACTGATTAAAATAGTTTTGGACTAAAGATGTAAGAGCTATCTTTACTCATTCTAGAGTAAAACTATATTTGACAGTAGTTACAAGGGGAACAGTTATTCCAAACATTTTTAGATCATAAACAATTGCTTTAAAAAGTATGTAAGATACAAAAATTACCTTTGGTTTCTAAGTTTTTCTTGAATATCTGCAGAAAACTTTAAAGGTGCCCTTAAATAATAGACTTAAGTGAGCAATATCTGTCTTTGGGTGCCTTTATGGGGGTTCCATGATGCAAGTAGTCATTCACTTGGTGCCTGAGTAGCAAGGATGACAATGTGGTAAGTCTCTCTGTCAACCTCTGTTTGGAGCTTGAATTAGAGTCTTTGTGTGTGGCCAGAGGAGGGAGAGGTGCTGATGTGTTGACAGGATCCTGAAATGGCCAGAATAATATTTTTAACTTAGTGGAAAAGACAGAAATGAAAGCAACAAACCAGAATATAAGGCACTCTAAATAAGTGCTAAATAGAGAGATTTAAGCAGGTTCTATGAAGGAAGAAGTGATCAATTCTGAGGCGAATTAGTTGGGGAGGGGATATATGTGAGGAAATGTGTCACTGAGAAGGTAGAAATTGAACTGGGCCTTGAAGGGTTTAGGAGAGAATATTGGATGAGAAAATGAGTAATGAGAGGCACAAAAAGGGGACCATTCCAGAGGAACAAATCTGGGTAATCAGATTTCACTGAAGTGAGTGTGGGTTTCATGGCTATAACCCTTACAAAGGGAACTTGAAGCCATAGAGGGCTTGATGTTGTGTGGAGGAATCTGGACTTCATTGAGTAAGCAGAGAGTGGCCATTGAGAAATTTTAGGTGAGGGATATGATCTAGCCTTTTTGATGGGTTGGGGAAGTGGGTGTGGGCTGACATTAAGTGATTTCAGTGTGAAGATGAAGCAGAAGATTGGTCAGTGCTGTTGCTGTAGTCCAGGCCAGACAGGGTAAAGGTCTACATTGTGGCTAGGACAATCAGTAAAAATTAAGAGGATTGATATTCATTGAAGAATAGAAAATGGACATTAATGCGTTGCCTAATAGATAATAATAACTTTCATAAATTGATTGATTTCTTACATTTACTGTACTACGGTGTACAGGGATGAGTCAAAAATAGTCCCTGTGCTCTGGATACTTAAAATATTAACAAAACAGGTATTGAATTAATGCATTACAATTTTAGAAATAATTAATGGCAGGGAACTGTAAAGGGCTATGTAAATAGTTTAATGGTTTAAAAAATATATGTCATGGTAGTTGGAGTTTACCAAAAGAACCTGGAGTGAATAAACACTTGGAAATTGTTGAAAGGTACCCAACCTAATTAATGTAGGGAAGGTATTCAAATGTCAAGTCTGGGGCAGTATGGGACACTTTTTGAAGTGTCCAAACCTCAGATTTGTGCACATTCTACATTTCATAAGGTTACAACTTTGGACAGTTTTGTACTAAACTCTTGAGGGATAATACAGCATATTACACTAATCCTCAGTAAGAATTTAAAAAAATATATATTTCCAAGTGTATAAAACTTTCAGGAGAGAAAATAAGCATTTTTGTAAAAATAGAATTCACTTATATTTTTACTGACCAATTATTAAAAGCTACCAAAGATAGTTTGTTCAATAAGACCTAAGGTAAAAAATATTCTTAGACTATTCATGCTGTTAAATCTCTGCAGATTTACAGTTTTATCCAGTCAAATTAATGCAAAACCCCAATGCAAGCATTTGGATTTTGAAAACTTTGGAGGAGTGTCATTTTCTAATAGTCATTATTGGTTTTACATTATTTTTTCACAGGGGAACTGATCACAGCCGCACATGAGCTTGGAGTAAGTATTAGTTTTATTGTTTAATCAATGCTCTCATTAACAGTTTTAGGAATTAAGAAAGTTTAATTAAGCATGGAATAAAGTAGATTAATTTATTTTTAAACCCCAGTTTTTAGTAACTTATAAGTACAGTACGTGACAATTTACTTTAAGTTTTAAATCCAATTAAACTAAATTATAAAGCAAAGCCTTTACTATATATACAGTAGCTGGCTTATTATCACCCCAAATTTTGTATAAGCTGTGGAGAATAAAATAAATCGGGTTAACAGTTTTAATAAGTTTATTATTTAATAAACTTTATTATGGTGCATGATCCCTTTAGGCAAGACCTTAGGACTGTCAGCATGGTGGTAATCCGATAGCAGTGTGGTCTTTCAACTTTCTAACCAGTACGATATTTCAGAACCTGCTTTTTTTCCAATAGCCTTTTAAATGACCCTAATGTACTGTGAACCCAGAGAACAAACTGCTTAAGATTCAACAATGAAATATGTCACCCTTTCTCTAGGCGACACACCATGTGATAGACGCTGCCAAATCCACTGAAGAAAATATTTGTTTGTATTGGCACAAAAAGATCACAATGGAAAACCACTATTTAAACAGTTAGTCATTGGCTCTTAATCTTTATACTTGCCCGAGGAAAGGGTTACTTTTCAATTAAAGCCAGTGTGACCCTCCGTTTACTAGATGAAAACCTAACTGTTTGGAATTTTCCCGTAGGTTGCCCATCCTCCTGGCTATCCTTTGTTCACTCTGGTGGCTAAACTGGCAATTATACTATTTCCTTTTGGTTCCATTGCCTACCGAGTCAATCTTCTGTGTGGCTTATTTGGAGCAGTAGCTGCATCATTACTTTTTTCCACCGTTTTCAGGTAAAGTAGTTGATTAGTTAAAATTTGTTTTGACTAATTGGAGATATAATTTTCTTATAGCCCAAGTACATACATTAAGAAGTGATTTTTGTTGTTGTTAGATGGTTTTCCAGTATCACTCAGGCGATTTCACTTTCTTAATTTACAGTGATTTCATATGCATTTGACCCCTTAAATGATTCCACAGTGGTTCTGCTTCATACAATGGCGTGAAAATGTCACCAGTTCATTTTCACAATTCTCTGCTTAGGCAGAACTAATAAGGTTTGTCATTTTATGAAAATGAAGATGGGCCAGTTTAATTCAACAATATGAAGTCCATCTTCCGATAAATGGTAAATATCCTTTAATCACTCACAGTATAGCTGATGGGCAGCTGCCTATCAGGTTCAGAGCTAATACCTAACTCTATTGTATTTAAATATGCACATGTTGTATACTTTTTAAAATGAGGCTATTAACTAAAGAAATCAATTTGGGATGTGGTTTTAGTAAGGTTTCACTTTGCTCCATTATAGCTGTAGGGAAAATAGGCAAATTAGACTCCATTTATTTCATTGATGGAAGGCTTTCATAGTTTGTAGGCTACCCTGCTTTTTAAAAATGGGTCATTAGTTTAGGATATTGGTAAACTAATTTGCCATTGCTATTTCTGTTTCTTTCATTCTTAACTCAGTCTAACCTGTGCCTAAGAGGATTAGAATGAAAAATACAAATTATACTTCCTGCAAAGGGGAAGCCAAATTAAAACACTTCTGTCAAAAACTATTACAGGTTTGATTATAAAACAAATAACTTTTGTATGTAAATAGAGTATAATTTGAGTAGACATAATTTCAAATGTCGTTTTGGAGGCCAGTTTTTATTTGCATTAGTCATACTATTGCCCTTAAGCTATATTCTATTCTAAATTCTCTTTTAATTATTTATAGTAAGCTAAAATTTGACATAATTTTGACTTTATACTTTTAAATCTATTTGTAGAAAGCTTTCAGATTCAGATATTATAATTGTTGATTATTGACTAAATTTTTATCTATATAATTTAATTTGTGTCTAATTCAGTCTTACAGATTTTCTGTGATAGCCAAATTTTTAATCATGAAATATTTAAAGTAACATTTCTGTTTGGATTGATTTGTATTATGAATATTATGAATATTTTCTTTTTCTAAATGATTAAAATAATCTTTATTAGACTTGTTCCTTCTGAGTCTTTTATAATTAAGAATCTGTCATTATTTCTGTTAGGAAAACTGATCTTTTTTATTTTTAAATATTTAGTTTGAAATTTAGACCTACCTGTTCTATATTGAATGTGTGAGTTATTAATTGTCACAATACATTTAAAACAAAGACATTTAAAGAAAATTAATATTTGTATTTAGATAGTTCATCTGTGTTATAGAAGATCATTTTTACAACATACATTTATTTAAATGCTGTGTGGATATAAATAGCTTTTATGCAAATAAAGCTATGTGTTTTATAAAACTTTTCCTTGTTTTTCAGTATATTGTTGATGCCATTCCACATGAAAACCAGTGTAAAAATTATATATAAAAATCTTTATCTTTATAGAATCCAAATACCTTTGGACAATAATTTCCCTTTGAGTTTTCATATTTTAAAATGCATTTATTAATTATGATTGACTACAATGGGTTTTAGATTAGTACACTAGTCTGTAACCATTTTCTTTAAATATACAGTCTTCATGATAAATTTATATACTTGCTGATACATGTTTTAAATAAACTCTTAATATGACTAAACTGGATATTTGAGTTGTTTTAGTAATATAGTACTTTGGAAAAGTTGCTTTCTTTTCAGAAAAGGAATCTAACAATATTATCTCTTACATTTTAATATGAAAATACTTCATTATTTTGAATACAAATAATTGACAAGGTACACGTCCTTTGGGAACAACCTAGTTCAAGTGGCAAATCTGTTTTGTCAAACAATAGACACCCTTCAGGAAAGAGCAAGCCATCTCTATGGTAATAGGACTAACAGTAGCCTATTGATTGAGTGGAAGAAGACATTATACAATGTCAGCTGGCTTGTTACAATTTCATTTGTTGTATGACCTGAACTTAACCTTTAAAACCTTTCTTCTGTGAATATAAACCCAACAGCAGGACACAGTTTTTGCACAGCCATTACATGACGGCTTTTTTCCAGTCCCGGCATACAGTAAATGTATTCCTTTACAGGTTGACTCCTTTATCAGGATTTGTTTAGGAGACGTTTCACTATTTTATTCATTTACATACCAAATCATCATTCTGTTTTGTCGTTGAATGTTGAAGAGTTTTGATCCAGGAAACCATTTTATTCTTTCTTTCCCCCATCACTTAAGAGAACATTACTGTACATGTGGGATTAATGCTGACTGGTGTGCAGTAAATTAATTCTTTTAACAGGTTTAGGGTTTTTTTCAGGTAATTGTTCACATAGCATTCACTATATTTAGCTCTTGGGGTGGACATAAAGACCTTCTGTACCTTTTAAACAAAGATTGTATTTCAAAAGCAAATTTCTGTTTAAATGTGTTGATGTAAAAAGCTCCATTTTTTTAAGTAAACACGACTTAGATTGAAAGAACAATTTATTCGTTGTTTCCAATTACTATGTAATTTTTGCCTTTCTTACATCTTTCTCTTGCTTTTAAAAGCAGTAATATGTCATTAACACTGCATTTTTGTTATTCTTTTCTAATGGTTGGCAAGAACTCATTTATATATTTGCTTTGCCCTAATGTAGAAAGCATATGAGTAAAACAGCACATTGCAAACTATCTGTATCACTGTAGTTTCTTGAATGAAAAATAGTAAGATTGTGCCAGTTGTTTCTGTATGTATTTATTTATGTATTGTCCCCTTCAGGGGTATTTTTAAGCATGTATTATGTTAAGGGAGTTTAATCTAGTACATTTAATTTATATGAAGTAGTATTCATTTTATTAATGTGTACATCTGTGCATTTAAGACTGTAATACAATTAGTGTTTTATAGGAACTAGGATTTTCTCTTTTAAGGCTATTAAAGTAAGTGATTTTTTAGTTTGATAATATGATATTTAAAGCGTTATATTTGAAATTCACAAATCCCATTAATGCAAAATAAAACAAGTTATAGATAATGTAGATCACAAATATGAACACCACTTAGCATTGCTTTGTACTTGAATTTCAAACTCATTTTCTAAGAAACATTAAACTAGGTCCTATAGACAGAATAAGGAAGGAATACTGAAAACACTATCATTAAACATCAGTGTGCTTACATTTCATACGTTCTGATATCACTAAAAGGGAATGGAGTTGATAGCATTGTATAAAAATTCTTTACCTCAGGGAAGATTTAAATTGTTTATGATTTCAGATGAGGGCCGTCTTGTATCATTTATTTTGGTTGCTACAAGGCAGGGAGTGTAGTCACAACAGGCTTGAGAGTCAGCATATCCTTTTCTAACTGTTAGGGGCCAAATGGAACTATAGAAGGATTCATTCAGCAATATTTGTTGAGCACCCATGTGAATCGAAAGTAAACTTGTTTTAGTTTTTATAATAAAAATTCAGTGCTTATTTTAAAGAAAAACTATTAAATAAGCAGGTTTTCAAATATTTTTTCTAAAAGGCACTGTTTTAGGAACATAAACAAACTTTCTAAGGCCATTAACAGTGTACATAAAGAAATCAGATCGCTGAATGTCAAGCAGGTTACCTAAAATATATGAATATTAATAATAATTAAAGGTATAGTAAAACTATAGCGGTTTACTACAAAGAACCTGCAACCAACTTCAGTAATATTTAAATATCTTCTGGAGGATTGTTTTGTGCCAGTATTTTATTTATGGGGTATTTAATTTTGTGTAAGTTATATCTAAACATATGCTGCTGCTAAAAGTTGATTAAACTTTTGGAAAAGGAACACCTGATTCTGGGCACTGTGTCTGCTATTCTTACAGCTTCAGCTAAGATTCTATTCAATAAAGAATAGAAAATGCCATACCTTAGAGAATGTAGAATCTCCTGCTTAAGGGACATTTGGATTTCCCAACTCAAAGAGTGTTTTAGATTATTGCCATAGAGAATAATATGAAGTTCTCTCTAATTTCGGAGGTAACTATGCATAAGTAACAAATAGTCACCAAGTTTTTGTAGTTGAAGAAGAATGAAAAGTACTGGAGCATTAATTTCCATTCAGGAGAATATCTGCCTTGATCCCTCGTTAATTGATCATATATTTCTCTCATACTTGTATTAAAATTGCATTGACTCAGACTGGTTAAGTATATTAAGAGCTTGATTCATTTGCATTTTCTTATAAGTAGAGGGACATATTTGGCTCAAATAGCAGCACTTCATTTTGAAGGGAGAAAAGCAGGGCATAGACTCTTTTTTAAGACTGTAGAGTCTTTTCTGACAGCTAGTCAGAGTTAGAATTAGTTCAAGGAAATGTTAATAATGCACTGCCTGGCCTAATCCCTTTGATATCACCAGGTATCCTCCTGTTCATGGGTTAATTGCTTTAAAAGCGAAGGCAATATTCTGAGCGGTGGGCCGCTTCACCTTTTCACAGCTGTTACCATTGAGTGACAACTAAATCCCATGTGTAAGATGAGGAAGAGCTCAATCTCCAATTGGGAGAAAATTTATGTAAACCACAATCCCTTCAGAATGTGCGGAAGTCATAGACTTTCTTGATTTACTCTGCTTTTCCCAGAAAGCTCTATTGTTCACTTTCCTAAGTCCCATCAACCCTTTGTAGCAGAATATCACAGCGGCAGCAGATAGCTTGAAATATATAAATGCTATCATAGCTCTGATTAATAGCAGTGCTTATGAGTCAAGTCTGATAACAGTGCAGCTCTCCACTCAATTTCAGATACTGCTAATGGAATCTGTCTTCTCCAATTGTAATATGAGAAGGCCTAATTTGCCATGGAGCTTGGAGCTGTCACCAGTAGGGGATTGTGGGGTCAGATGG